TTAGACGAGGGCAGTTCCTAGAAACCCCTGGCTGTGCAAGCAGCGCAGAACCCCATCGGAGCCCCCGAGGAGGACACACAAGCTCGGCGTCACACATTCAAGTTCTTTGTCCTGTGATCTAGGGCCTACAGTCCATTGACCCCACATCTGCCTGAGATGCCGAGGGGCCTACAATCAACAGAAGCTCCAGCAAATGTATTCAGCCCGTAATTAATATCTTTTCAAGCTTTCCAAACCCAACGTTTTTGCTCCAAGAGTAGTCCAACAACCTCCTCACCCCATCATAGAATACCACCTAAGGCCAGGCATACTCCATATTGGACACTGTGATATGAGAAACCTGTTTGGACTTTGTTTCAAGTTCCTGGCTGGGGGGCTTCTAAAAATATGAGGTTTTCTGGGTGATAGGAATTCTCTTTGTTGTTCCTAATGTGCCCCTTCCCATCACACCTGAGTTTTATTGTTTGTTTTTGTTCTTTTGGGGGACCCGCCACCCTGCTCCCAAATAAATCACACCCGGGGGCTTATACTTAATTATAAATGCCCGACCTTAGCTTGGCTTGTTGTTAGCTAGCTTTTCTTAACTTTAAATTATCTCATCTATCATTGGCCTTGGGGCTTTTATCTTTATTCCTATATACCTTTTCTTTCCTTCTTACTCCATGTCTAGCTGTGTAGCTGGGTGGTTGGCCCCTGGAGTCCTCCTCCTTCCTCTTTCATTCCTTCTTTTCTCTTCCCAGACTTCTCCTTCTACTCATTCTCTCTGCCTGCCAGCCCCACCTATCCTTTCTCCTGCCTCGCTATTGGCCGCTCAGCTCTTTATTAGACCATCAGGTGTTTTAGATAGGCACAGTAACACAGCTTCACCCAGTTAAACAAATGCAACACAAACAAAAGTAACACACCTTAAAATAACATTCCACCACACCTGAGCTTTGCCGGGAAGTGACTAAAGCTAGGACCCTTAGATAGCATCAGTATAGATCTGGTTACCAGAAAGTACAAGAAATGAGAGGATTGGAAATTTCAACCCAGCCCCATCTCCTCTGGGACAGGACAGGGGAGTGCAGACTGTAATTTAAAACCGGGGGCATGCACTTTTGGAGAACTTTCAGGTTGGACAAAGGCACTCCTGAAGGCAACCTGGAAGCCTCATGCCTTAAGCACACCCTACATTGCTGTATGTGTGCCTTACTAACTGCCCCTGCATTGGCATCTTTCAACAAGACAATATAAGAAAATTCTTTCCTGGGCACTGTAAGCCTCTTGAGCACACTACCAAGATTAAGGGGAGGGTGGTGGGAGCCCCTGGTACACAGTCAGTAAGAAAGCTGGCTGGCCTGGGAGCTTGCAACTGGCACCTGAGGTGAGGGAAGTCATGTGAGATCGAGCTTCACTGGTCAGGTCTGATTGCCACTCTTAACATGGGGTCAGAACACCCAGATGGTGTCAGAGAATTGGTTGATCGCAGAGAAAATGCCCTAGAGACATTCATCAGTCCACCTTGGGAAAGACCCAGTCACTGGGACCCTAACATAGGTGGCTCCCCCAAAACCCAAAGCACTAGAGTGCCTTGTTTTCCAGAATCCAGTTCGTTTTTCTATTCCTTTAGCAATGGATAAAGCTGAATACGCTCTCCCAAAAGCTACTAAATCGTAGTAACCCTGAGGGATGAAGGGGTATATAGTGTGTTCAGCCTTCCTCATCCAGTCCCACTGGGTGAGTGACTTGACATTAACGTTCTCACAGATCTGGGACCTGAAAGCCCAAGACCAAGATGCTGTATCTGGGGGGTTTTCATCTCAGGTCACAGCCACCTTCTCACTGCGTCCTCGGTGGCCTTTGCTTCGTGTATTCAAAGACGAAGACATTTGCTGTTCCTTTTCTCATAAGAACAGCAGCCCTGCCGGTTTAGGGCTTCACACCAGCGGCCTCCTTAGTATGAAGTAGTTAGTATCTTCCTAAATACCCCGTTTCTAAATTCAAACACACTGGACCACACGGACTCGCTTCAAGTGTCTAACAAAAGCGATGCCTCCGTTTATGTCCTTACATCTCTGCCTACAGTCACGGGATCATCAAGTTCTAGAACGTTAGGGGTGGAAAGAACATTAGATCCTCAACTGTCGTGTAAGGGAATGGGGTTCCAGATAGAAGGGATCTGGCCGTACATGTGACTAAGTAGTGGGGAGTCTGGGAGTGGACCCCCAGACTGTCTCCCACCAGACAAACTCCCGCTTCAGTCGACCTCCCAGAGTCGACTCATTAGGAAAGATATTTCATAAGGCAGGATTGAGCGTTTTACAGCATGGCCTTCTACCAGGAAAAGGTTTTCCTCATGAGACCTATGAAATCCTGTGTCTCCACTAAAAACCCATCCTGAAATGTCAGCACACGATTTCCTCTTGTCACAAAAGAGAACAAGAGCCAGAGACTTTGAGCTAGGTCTAGGGGTATGCCGTGGGCAGCTCATCCTCTCCCCAGTGGGAAATAAACCCAGGACCTTGCATTTGCCAGGCAAATCCTCTATCACTGAGTCAAATCCCCAACCCCAAGCACAACAGCTCTTTTGTTTTTAATAAAAAAAAAAAAGTGTGTGTGTGTGCGTGTGCGCGTGCGCGTGCGCGTGCGCGTGCGCGTGCGCGTGCGCGTGCGTGTGCGTGTGTGTGTGTGTGTGTGCAGGTACCCACAGAGGCCTTGATCAGGCTTCAGATCCTACATAACTGAAATTCAGGTGGTTGTGAACAGCCTGATGTGGGTCCTGAGGAAAAAAAAAAACATGCCCCATGGCTGAGCCCTCCTCCCTCCAGCCCTGTCCCTCAGCAGCTCTTGCTGAGGGGAGTTTCCTCACACGTGAGGGGGTCTTTGTGAGCCTCCTTATTCCCGGACCTCAGTCTCCAGGAAAACTCACATTACCGCGGCACAACCGTGAAGGCCTATCATCCTCCCCTTTCCGAGGTCATTCTAGAATCTGTTTTGCCACTCAGTGGTCGAACGGCCAGGCCTGCACAGAGCACGGCCTGGACATTCCGCCGCCTGTTTCTGGCTTTGCAAAACCAGGTGCTTCCTGCTGATGATGAGAAGCGCTGCTGTCACGAACCTCCAAAAACGCTGACAGGACGCTCACATGGGATGTGGGAGGCAGCATTCTGCAGAACACTGTGAACCGTTTTCCAGGACCACTTGGACCCTGACTGCAAAGGCGCACGCCCCCTGACGGCTCGGCTACTGTGCAGAGGAACCCTGGAACAGACTCTGAGCCCCGGCTCCTCACCCACTTCCCGTTTGTAGGATCTGCTCCAGCCCTAACTCGTAACATTCCTAAATCCATCTTTCCAACTTTCCCTAGATTTCGGCCAAACTGGCTTCATGGAGTATCTTTTTCATCTCTCATTCTTAATTTGTAAAACAATTCTCGGGGTTTGCACTGAGGACCGAATTCATTTTTTTTTCCAGTTCTCCTCTCCAATCTGGGAAATAGATTTTCCCTGTGAACAGACAGAGGCCCCTCCTCCACTTCCTGGTTTGGGTCTTATGCTGCACTGGGGCCTCTCTGCAGACACCATTCTGCTCCACACGTAGGGAGCTGGAAGAAAGAGTTCCATCCAGAAGGCTGGCTTTCACCTGCCCAGGGAGAACAGCAGGGCCCAGGAGCTCACGCCTATCACTGTGCTGGGCACCCATAATATTCTACACCCCCAAAATAACCCCTAGCATGAGCTGGTGGTTAGACACCTTTAGACACCTTTAGCTCCCACTCTCCAAAGACAGAATTAATAACAGAATATGTACAGCTGTGCCATCGATCCACCTCTCTGGCCTCTTACTGGATTTGGGGAACACAGATATGATCCCAAACATGTGGCCTTTCTGAGGTTTTGGTTATGAGTCTTTTTTTAAATTTTTTTTGTTTTGGTTTTTTTGTTTGTTTGTTTGTTTGTTTTTTGGTTATGAGTCTTAACCTTTAATGGCTGGCCTATATCTCAGCCCTGTGTGACCTTTCTGAATGAACCTCTCTTTCATTGATTTTAATGTACAAAATAACAGGTTGCATTATGATATTTTCATAGATAGATCGCTGAATTTTGCTCAGACTCTCCCTTTTCACCCCCTTCCCTTATCTCCTACCCTGCCAGCTCCCTTCCCCCACTCCCATAGCTCCCCTCTGCTTTTATGTCTCATATACACACACATGCATGTATAGTCTATATTACGCACATGAGAGAAAAGAGGAAGAAGCCTTTGTCTTTCTGAGTGGCTTACCTCACTTTGTCTGGTGATTCCCCAGTCCCATATATTTTCCTGCAAATGAAATAACATATTCTTCACTATGGCCTCTTCTTTATCATTCATCTATTGATGAACGTCTGAGCTGGCTTCTTGATCATTGAGAACAGAGTATGGGTAAACATGGATGTGCAAGTATCTCTGTGGTGTGCTGACTTAGACTCCTCTACTATATACACCCTGGAGGGGTGTAGCTAGAGCATGTGGTAATTGTGTCTTCCGTCGTGGTTTTTAGGACCACCCCCCCCCATACTGATTTCCGTAGTGGCTGTACCAACTTCTGTGCCCATCAGCAGTACAGAAGGGTTCGTCTCTGCCATCCTCTCATCAGGTCATGGCCTGTTGTTTGCCTGGTGACAGGAGAGAGACGGCTCTCAGTGTCATTTGATTTGGCATTTCCCCCGTAGCTAAGGATGCTGAACATTTTCTCATTTATTCTCTGTCCATTCTTTTTTTTCCTTTTTCTTTCTTTTTATTATTATTAAGAGATTTTCTATTCATTTTACATACCAACCACAGGTTCCCCTCTCCTTCCTCCTCCCAATCCCCAGCCTGCCCTCTCAACCCACGCCCCATTCCCACCTCCTCCAAGGCAAGGTCTCCCATGGGCAGTCAGCGGAGCCTGGTACATTCAGCTGAGGCAGGTCCGAGACCCTCATCCCTGCACCAAGGCTGCGCCAAAGCCTCCCACCATAGGCACTAGGCTCCAAAAAGCCGGCTCATGCACCAGGGACCGGTCCCAATCCCACTGCCTGGGGGCCCCCTAAACGGTTCAAGATAAACAACTGTCTCGCCTGTCCTTGTTGTCCATTGTTATTCTATAAATCCCTCTTGAAATGCAGACATGGGACATACAGGGTGGTGGTCTTTTCCATCCCTCAAGACTCTTGCTTCTTTTAAAACCCACTTCATCCCCTCCCAAAGCCTCCCTGAATCTCCCTCCATTCAGTGTCTTTCCTTCCTCCACAGAGGCTAAGAAAATCGCCAGGACAGTAAAGAGCAGACGCCACCCCCCATCCCCCCAGACCGTGGGAAAATGCAAGCCTCCCTGGGATTTTAGATAATGCCTGGGTCATTTAATGTCGGGGGAAGAATTTCTTGGCTATTAAAAACACATTAACAACTGGAATCCAGGATACTTTCCTCATGCAGTGACATCACCATCTCAACGCACACCCCGTCGTCCATTCCATTCTGAAGATGTAATTATTGATAATCACAAAATTGATGCATCTACCAATACCAAGCAAACAAAAAGAGAAACAGCTTTAGTAGGGGAAGAGAGAGAGACAGAGACAGAGACAGAGACAGAGAGACAGAGAGAGACAGAGACAGAGAGAGACAGAGACAGAGAGAGACTAGTTTAAAAAAATCAACGCATCCGAAGCTGTCGCTGCTCACATTCTTACAATTGCAATGACGCACACTGACCAATAGATGGCAGGCAGTCACTGCCCCACAAACGTCTAGTTCCCACCCACATGGAAATCAGCCCTGTCGAAATTTGCTGCGTCAGGGTGGGAATTTTCAGGATCATCCATCTTTGCTACAACCACCAGACTGGTGCTGCAGCTTCCATCTCTCCCCAACAGCTGCGTGATCATAGAGGAGACCTCGTGTGTTCCCTTAGTAAGAAGGTGTTTCTGTCATTAATGAAAACGAGCCCAAGTCCTCAGACAAGGCTGCCGTTCACCCCGCTCCCATCTTCAGCCACCAACATCTAGTCTAAGCAGTTCTCCAGAGTCCCACCTCTTCCTCCAGCATGGCCTTGGCCTTGAACTCTCTCCACGCTGCCCACCGTCTCCCTCAGCTTTTTAGCCCAGACCTGGCCGTAAGCACCAAACTGTAGCGGATGGCTAGTCCGGTCTGTATGTTTGTTTGCCCTGGTGTTTAATGGTTTCTCAAGCCTGACCTTTGCTCAGTAAATGATGATGTAGGTAGGGGTCTGCAACCCGGAGGTGAGGAAGAAAACAACATGGGGTTAGTATCTTCCAACCTTGTGATACCGGGCCAGAGAGAATGCCCAGTGAATTTTCAACCCACTTGACTGAGCCTGTCCGTTCCTGTTCATCCATCCAAATTTTGTTTATTTTGAGCCTGCGGTTTTTGTTTGCTTGTTGTTTGTTTGGGTCTGGTGTTTGTTTTCTGCTGGAGTTCAAATCCAGGGCCTCACAAAATGCTAGGTAAGCACCCTGCCGCTGAGCCCCACCCTGGCCCTGTGATTTGAGTTTTCAGAGTTACAGCGGATGACACACGGCGTTAACTGCTGCAGCGTGGAGAGCTTACGTCATCATCCTGTCGACACTGCGGACTCTGTCCCACAGTCAGGGAGCGTTTGCAGAGCCCGGGGGGTCAGTGGAAGAGCTTGACTGACCAACGCTGAGACCCTCACAAACTTGTGAAGCAAATTATTGCTACAGATCCCCAATTTACATGAGGGAAAACTAGCCACAGAGAAGTTAAATAATCCCAACCGAAGTCGCATGGAGCACCAGGATTTGCGCTCCAGCCACCTGGCTTGAGATACCACGTTCTTATCCACCCTGCTAATGTTCACCTTGAACTAGAAATGAGGCACAGAATGAGCTAACTTCCCCTCCTCTCCTGTCAAATGGTGGCAGGCTGGCTTGAAAGCAATCCTGAGCAAATCGAGCCTGAGCATACAAATAGCTCCTGCCTGAAACCTCCTCGTGTGGATCTTTACAAGTCCAGACTGGCCAAAAGACTCCAGTACAGACGCAGTAAGGTTACCCATGAATGAGCACACGGGGAGGCTTCCAAGAGTCAGAGCCAGGAGTTGAATTAGCAGAGATCTCTTTATCAAGAGAAGGCTGAGATATGATGCTGTTGACTTAGCCTCTTATTTGTGTTTCCCATTTCTAAAATGGGAGTGATTTTTATCATACTAACTGCAGCACAGGATCCCAAGAAGACAGCCTCTGGACACCAGAGCTTCAATGGTATATTAATTAAAGCCTGCCTGTAAACACTAGATAAAACACAAAACGTAAAGGGCACTTGGCAGCTATTCAAGAGTTAAAAATAAAATTATCACGCAATCTTAACTCTAGCCCATAGTACATACTCGTCTCCCAAACAGATTAAAACAGAAGCCTAGATACTTACACATTAATATTCCTAGCAGCCTGTGTACAATAGCCCAAAACTGGGAACAACCAAAATGTCCAGCAAGCAGACGAATGATGTTTTGATTTTTTTTCTTTTAATCCATGTAGCAGAATGTCATTCTGCTATAGAAAGGAATAGAGTTTGATGCATGCTTCATCGGGAGTGAAACCAGAAGACTCTAGGGGAGGCAAAGTGAGGCAGACACGGTCCTCCTGGCAGAAGGCACGAAATCACAGAGACAGAAACAGAAAGGAATAGTGTCTAAGGAAGAGGAATGGGGCGCTGCTGTTTAACAGGCACAGAGTTACCATTCGAGGCTCTGGAAACCGACGGGGGTGGGGGTGGCGGGGGTGGCAGTGACGCGACACTGTGAAAATATTTAACGCCAATGAACTGCGCACGTCGAACGGTTAAAAGAGTAAAATGTATGTTATGGATACTGTACCACAGGAAAAAAAATCTAGTGCGTTTGTTAGAGATTGTCAGTTACCTAAACCATATCCATTTTCTTCTTTTTATTTATCAACAAAACCTTGTCCAGGAGGGGAATGTTTTTTTTCCCCATAGTCCCTGAAGGCAGTGGTGGCTATATGACTTGAGACTGTCTGAAGAGATACAAACTTCCCCGGTTACTGGGGGCGGGGGGGGGGGTGTTCCTGGAGGAGGTCCCTGAAAACTGGAGATGAGAGACACCCATTTACTGGTGTACAGAAAAACAAATGGGAAGAAGAAAAGAGGCTAAGGGACCGAGGAAGCTGTGGAGCGGCTGTAGCTTTTGTGGGGTGCTTATGCCTACATTTGGGGGTCTTTGAGAGAAAAAGCTTATGTCTGATTTTACCCCAGATGCCCACTGCTGAACACAGCTCCTAATCAATCCACCGCATTAGCCCCTGTATTTATTGTAGCTTCTGGTTTTATCACCAAAGCAGTGCATTACCAGAGCAGGGTTGACCATGTCAGAAGGACTCAGGAAACTGAAGACATAAAATGAGTTAACCACCCGCCTAATTGATACTTACTTGGAGCTAAGGAGCTGAGAAAAAGCCCCCTGCCTGTCTCTCTGCCACAAATGCAATCCTAAAACACGGAGACATCATTTCCTGTCCCCTGGGGCAGCCGCATGATGGATGAGTTTCTTCAGCGTGCTCAAGTGTGGAGAGTCTGTTACTCCCCGAAGAGAGACAAGGAAGCATCTCACTCAGGCTCCCTGCTACATCTGAGGGGAGGTGGGTTTCTCTAACAGAAGTCCACAAGTTAACATGGTACAGGGATGAGCAACCTCATCAGCTCACAGCTCAATGGACATCCTCTGCCTCCTCGACCTTCAACCCTGCTCCACCCTGCCTGCCAATGACGTCCTGGTATGTCCGCACCCAGGACCTTGTCAGCTCAGGAAGCTCTCCATCAGGATCTCCCCACCCTCCTCCGCTCAACTTCCTCCACTTTCACTCTTCAGCCGGAGGCTTTGGGGAAATTCAACACTGGAGGTTGTGAAGGCAGAACCGAGTAAAGGAACCCCTGGTGGCTCTCCCTATTTCCCGGATCGAAGGCTTTCCCCCCTATATTTGGCTCCATGTTTTTTTTTATTTGATAAAACCATTTTAGAAATTCGTCTACAAGGGAGGAAAGGGTTTATTTGACTTATGCTTCAGCATTGCTGTTCATCACTGAAGGAAGTCAGGTCAGGAACTCAAACAGGACAGAGTCCCGGAGGCAGGAGCTGATGCAGAGGCCATGGAGGGAGCTGCTTACTGCCTTGCTTCCCCTGGCTTGCTCAGCCTGCTTTCTTAGAACCCAGGACCACCAGGCCAGGGATGGCTCCACCCACCATGGGCTGGGCCCTCCCCCCCATTGATCACTAAAAGAGAAAATGTCTTACAATTGAATCTCATGGAGGCATTTCCTCAATTTCCTGAGGCTCCTTCCTCTGATGACTCTAGCTTGTGTCAAGTTGACACACAAAACCAGCCAGTACACATATCTTTAATAATATACTAAATATCTGTACCTTTAATACCTATCCATGTAAAACACAGACACACACACACACCATTGCACCAGCTTTAACAGGAAGTGTGAGAAGTTACAACGGTAGAGGACAGAGAAGGAGGGAGGAAAAGGAGAATCACTTTTCCGTGTATGCTCTTGTTCTCACATTTTAAGCCATGTGCTAATACCTCCTATTGAGTTTTTCAGGAGGACACTCACGGAGTGAGTGTCCCTGGTGTGTCAGACTCCCACAGGCACCCTCTCTCCACCTAAAGTACCTCTATGGCCTCCAGAGACCACTCTGCCTACATCCATGTCAGCTGATGTCATCAACCAATGACTCCTGCTGACGTGCAGTCTGAACCAACACTAGGGAAAACTAGTTCACAGTGGTGACGGCGGTGCCTCTCCAGCGGGGGATGACTCTAAGGAGTCTGTCCACCCCGGCTCCCACAGTGCTCCAGGAGCATTTGGCTACAAACGTCTTGGACACACACTCTTAGTTGGTTTCTTTGCCTCCCATCTCCTCTTTTCACTCTTCTTTAAGCGTGTGTGCGTGCGTGCGTGCGTTGCGTGCGTGCGCGTGTGCGTGTGCGTGTGCGTGTGTGTGTGTGTGTGTGTGTGTGTGCATTCATGCATGCTCCCATGTGTACAGAATCCTGAAAAAAGTGATGGATCCTGTTGAAGCCAAAATTACAGGCACCTGCCATGAATACAGGAAACTCAGTTTGGGTCGTCTGGAAGAGCAGCAAACACTCTCAGCCACTGGGCTCTCTCTCTCTCTCTCTCTCTCTCTCTCTCTCTCTCTCTCTCTCTCTCTCTCTCTCCCTACCCCCATCTCTCTTATCTGTGATTTTTCTGAGGTCACCGCCTATTAAACTCTTCACTCTAAAACTCTGCGAACTGAATGCTGATTTCAGGGTGGAAATGAAGAAGCTGCCATTCCCACTACATTCCCTCTCTGGGTCTTGCTTTCCTTGGCAGCCTCTCTATCTCCCATGGCAAACCTCCAGCAGCCCACTGTCCCTAGAGACAGTCACTTCAGCCTCTAACTGAGCCTCCCCAAATTCAGTCTTTGCAACCTCAAGCTCTTCAGTGCTGCTCAAAATGCCCGGTCAGTGTCTCTTTCCCCTCCCCCTTTTCCCCTCTCCCCCTCTCCCCCTTTTCCATGGAGCAGCATCTCCAAGTTGAGCTCCAGGACAGTGTGCTGTCCATCTCCCTCCTCACAGTCACCATCTGTGTCCCAAGGACAGAGAGGATACAGGCACAAAGTCCTGATGACTTCTCTATTAGTGTAGACCTAAGAATTTCACAAATGTGTATTACCTTCTCAGATTCAGAATTCTTCGTTGGATTTTCTTTTGTGTCCAACACGAATCACTCCGGATCCAGACACCACAGGTTCCCAGTTCGCAGCCTGGCTCCACCACTTGCGAGTCTTCTGATTTTAAGCAATAGATTTTATCTCTCTTATGTACAGAAAAAAGACAGCATCAATGCCCACTTCACATGACAGTTTGAAGAGTAAATCAGTTAATATGTGAAAGTGCAGAGACCGAAGCCTAAAATATTGCATATGTCCAGTAAGTGTTATTTTGTGCATTTCCATATATATTCTAAATATTCTGTGATAAATATTAGTAAGTGTTGTCTTTGTATATGTATACACTTGTGTTCCCTTCTATTGGGACTTACTTTCTCTCTTCCTTTCTTAGAAGACAAAGGTTTCTCTCTTTCTCGCCTGTCCTGGCTAAATTCTCCATCTGTATTTCCTTCTTTCTTTCTTCCTTTCTCTCATTTTTTTTTCTGGTTTTTTGGAGACAGGGTTTCTCTGTGTAGCCCTGGCTTTCCTGGAACTCACTCTGTAGACCAGGCTGGCCTCGAATTCACAGAGATCCACCTGCCTCTGCCTTCCAAGTGCACGCACCACCACCACCCAGCATGCGCCACCACCGCCCGGCCCTCCATCTGTATTTCTAACTCAGACAGTAATTTGCCATCTAAGGCTGATCGATAGCTCCCCCCCCCACTTGCCTTCCTCCTTTCCTTTGTGATTAAGTCGGCATCAAATATACAGAAACACTTCTCATAAAAAAAAAAAAAAAAGTCAAATCATTCTCCTACCCTGCCACCTAATAAAGCTAATTCTCCTGCCCCCGGCTGCCTATTCTTCAACTCTGACCATCCACCTGAACTAGACTTTCACCCCTTCTATCAGTGACCCCCGTAACTGCCACATTGCTCTTGTTTAAAAGTATCTTTTACCAGAAACCTTTGTGCATCATTTGATAGTGTCAGGCATGACCTCTGCTCGTTCATCCATTATTATATATTGAACATTTACCATACATTTTGTATTATGGGCTTTTAAGGGTCGGGATACAAGATGATGAAGACCTTCTTACGGGGGGGTTCTCCCAGGGACACGATGGAGTGTAAGTCATTGACTGGAGACGTGGAGACTCGAGTATGGAACTCAAGAATGGCCAGGTGGGAAAGGGAAACCAACACAGGTACATTCGTGAACGCTATGGGTAACTTGGCTCAGTTTTATAACAACAACTCGGCGATGGCCAAAAGTAACCTCAGCTGCCTCCAATAGGTGAGGAAGATGGGAGGTTCCTCTACCAAGGCTCACCTGTCATGACCTTTCACAGCATCCCCCTCCCGACTCATGTAACAGCAAGCGTGCTAGGGGAAACCTCCAAGAGAAAGCTGCAGAAGCTTGCAGCGAGGTGCCGTCGGTAGCTATGGTAACGGGATATGTCAGGAACGCTGGCAGATTCTGCCCCACAGGCAAGGCTTTCCCCACCCCCCCAATGGAGATTTCAGTGGTGGATAAGAAAAGGTAAGCAATGTAATTTCAGACAGGGTCAAATGCTGTGAAGAAAATGCAGCCGTGTGATAGGATGGTCCTCGGCTGTGCCTTTGTGGGTAGCGTTGTGTCCCCTCCCCGACTTGTTGACGTTCTGGGGTGCAAAGCCTTGTTATAGAAGTAATCAAGTTAAAGAGAAACCAGGAAACCGTCAGCGTGAGCCTTACTCCAGCATGAGCCCTAGCTTTATCAAGGGGTGGAGCATTTGGACAGAGGCACTCACAAAGGGAAGCTCATGGGTCAGGCAGGATAAAGGAAGAAGAAGCCAACCAGTGTGCAAACCAAAGACAGCAGCAGACTCTTGCTCACAGCCCTCAGAGGGAAACAAACCTTGGCCTCAGCTTTCTCCTCACTGTCAGACTCTTAGTCACTGCTTGACTGCTAGCTAATTTGATGGGGTGGCTAGGGAAGGCCCCCCAGTGGAGGCAACACTTCTGGTGAGGCCTCACTGAAAAACAGTGCCAGCCCTGAGCAAGCCTGGGGGAAGATCGCTTTCCATAGAGGACTAGCAAAGGCAAGGGCCAGGGCCGTGGGAAGAACTGGGTATATTCAAAAATAGCGCAAAGGTCCCTGCAGCTGGGTTTAGGGAGTGAGAGGGAACGGTCCAGAGTGAGGTTTAAGAGCCTGGCAGGAACCATATGCGGTGCCACGGGAGCAATTTAGGGGTCAAGCAGAGAAGTGGTAGGATCTTCCTTGTGCTCTTACGAGTACTCTCCCCAGTGGCAATGGTCCAGGCAAAGTGAGGAGGCCGGATAAGAGGCGCGGAGACCACCAAAGTGAGGAGCCGGTTGCCAGTGTCCAGGCAGAGAAGGGAGGCTAGTGGGTCAGAGGGCAGGTGGAAGGTACCAATGGAAGGAGAAAGAGGCGTGAACAAATTCAAGGATCATCAGGAACTGATAAGAAGACTTGTTGATGGGAGGAAGGAGGAAGGAATCAGAGAGACAGCTGTTTCCTTACAGAGCAGCTGGTAGGTGGTGCGTTCACTGAGATGGGATAGCCTGGGGCAAGACAAGGTTAGGGCTATAAACGGAGGAGTCACCTTTGTTATGATTATTACGTGTGTCCCATCCTGTGTCCCTCCACCCCACCCCACGCCCACCTCCCCAGGGTATCTTGGGGGGGGGGCGGGGACACGGACGTGCTGGCATGCTGGGCAGATGCAGCGGTGGGCTGCCTGGTGACACACTCCATGCGGGCATGGCGGCAGGGCAGGTGGTGGACATCCACCACCCAGAGGCTGCATTCGCCGGGAAATGGTTTATTATAATGAGGGATAATGAGAAAGACCGGAAAAGGCAGAAAGGAGAGGGAGAGAGAGGAAGAGAGAGAGGGGGGTCCGAGGGTGCGCACCTCATGGGAGGGAAGCAGAAGAGAGAGAAGAAGGAGCAAAGTTTTCGGCGCCAAGGGGCAGGATTTCAAGGGGCGGAGCAGAATATTAACAACCCTCCCGTGCTTTTCTCCTTGCTCCCTGACCTCTTCCTAAGCTGTTTCTCTGTCCACAGTCATTTCTTGTTCCATTCTTTTAGCTCTCCATTCTCTCCCTGGGCGACCTCATCCGTCCCCAAGACTCAGCTAACAGCACCTCCAAGCCAATCACTACCAACTGTTCCCGCCCAGCCCAGCTCCTCTGCAGATTTCCAGAACTATGTCCTCAACCATCTTGTAGATTTCACACCTGGAGTGAGTTAGGTTGGGACAACAGTAACTTGTACAGCCGTTTGACAGATGAGAAACCTGTGACTCTAAGACATTAAGTGACCTATTACTCCCCCAAAATGGGAAGCAAAAGACAAGAGTAATATGTACATACTGAGCTCCTGATGTCTGGGGTCCCCTCCCCATATACTCTGTTTTCCTTTATAACATATGTGTTTTCCATTAAAAAGATATCTCAGTCATTAATTCTTTCAGATAACCTCACAATATTTCACATAAACGAAGAATAATGTTTCAAAACTAGGACTTTCTAGTTCAGTTACATCATCCATCAATGCTATTTGCAATCCTAAGTTCACTGCTCCCTTTTAAATTTTTGCATATGACCATTCTTTTACCTATTATTGCACAATCAAGGACGTTTTATTATAAGGGGGAAGCTTATTATCATAAATAGTATCAAGGAAGACATGGATGAATTAAAAAAGAATATCTAACGAATATGACATAATAATCAAGAACCAGGTGAAGGGTTTAATACTTGGACTTTTATTAGTATTACTCGCTAGGGTAACACAACAAAGAAGTCATACAATTAAGAAAGATACTTAAAGCCATTTGAAAAATAAATCAACACTGATTTTTGATTTAAAAACCTCTTACATTTAAAAGACATACAAAAAATGTTTTAAACATATCAGGTTTGCTTTCCTTAATGTCTGCCTTCCCCAGCTAGTTACGTTTTCTGCATGTTCTTCATAGACATACTGACAAGAGAGGTTTCAAAAGCCCATGCTTTCAAAAATGATTTTTTTTCCATTTTTAATAAAGGCTACAAAAAGTGCTTTTCAGCAATAACAAGCATGAAGAGATGGACTTTGAAATAGAGCTCCATTGTCTGAGGCCATTTCAATGGCTTGTGCTTGCTGCAGTATTTTCTCTTTGGTGAATATTAGTAGCCATGGCCTGAATTTATTAATGTCCAGTCTGGAATCAGAAATGCAATCTCCAATAATAACTGAGTGAAAGGACTTTCACTCTGGGGGCAGGGCCAAGCTCAGCAGGCTAGAGGCAGGGACCCAAAATGAATTCCGATCTATCTTTTTCTAAGAGAAATTGACAGCAGACATTCCTATCTCTTTCTAACAACTCGAGCTGACTATAATTGGAACACAAAGGCCAGTCATTCAGCTCTCCCACCCCTGGCCTTTCCCGCAGTTTCCACGCCATGGCATGAATGCTGGCAGCCCTGAATCATTTTCAAGTCACTGGGAATGCTTTGCAGTCAGCAGAGCCTGTATTTATATCTACTGTCTTCAGTGCAAGAGTGATTCGCCTGTGTTCCGAGCTGGAGAGTCACAGGGCGTTATTATTGAAAGGGGTGTGAGCAGCCCTGTCTAGACCAGTGGCTTTCAGCCCTAACTGAACATTAGAATAACTATGGGCCTTTTTAAAGAGCTAATGATGCCCAGGCTGCACCCTCCAAGAGTCTAATTTTGTTGGTTTGGTAACAGGTCTTGGCTTTCCTAGTTTTGAAAAGCACCCCCCAGGTGAGTCTAACATACAAAGACCACAGTTAGAAATCACCATCCTTTAGCATAATCTTTTCATTAAATGAGCAAATTCAGATGCAGGTGATTGCATCTAACTAGGTGATTGCAGATCTCAGTGATTTACAGGGAGTTCCCGGCTAAGTTTTCCAAAACTTGACAATAAATCCAAAGATGACTTGTGGCAGCTACTCAGTGCCTCTGGAAAACACTGGGCCATCCAACCAGAGGAGAAAATAATTACTGTTTTACTTAACACCATAAATTTAAATATCAGATGTATTTCGATCCATAAAGGTTTCAATGTTAACTTGCAGAAAATGAATGTGATATGGTACAAATAAATTGTGCATGAAAAGATAAAAATTATCTTTGTTCATTGAAGAAGATATACCCAGAGGTCATATGACTTTTACTGCCCTCTGGAATGCTAGCCAGTTTTATTTTTAAATTAGAATCTTTATTCCAGTATGCATTCCCCCTCTCTCTTCCTCTCCCCTTCTTTTCCTCCTCTCCCTTTCTTCCTTTTCCTCCCTCTATTCCTCCTTCTAATAGGTCATTTGCTTTCTTTTGTCTCACTTTGATAACTAACTTTAGCATCCTTCCAGTTACCTCATTAATGAGAAACAAAACTTTGACTTGCTCCCCAAGTATTTATGTAAAAAGTATGAGTGTAAGATTATGAAAATTATGTTTCAACACTTGAAAATGATGTAAATTTTATGAGGGCATCTTAAAATATTCAGAAAGCTTTAATTGGTCTGTCCAGATGTAATTTACTGTTTGCCAAAAATATTATTCATCAACCACATTCAAAAACCATAAAGCTGCAGATTTTCACTTCAAGCAAAGAGGCAGGACAAAGACCTAGCTGGCTTTCCTGGAAACAAAAGACCTGAGCTCCCTGATTGTCCCAGCTTTCTGCCCGAAACGTTTCTTCCAAGACACAGAGGGGAGGTCTCCTGGAGTTAAAGAGACTCAGCTGGAATTACAGGACACCAAGACAGAGTTCTCAGGACAGACTATCAGAGTGGACAGAGTTGCACAGACAGCTGGGAAATGTGGAGTCTAGTTAACTGTTCAGCCAGTGTCTGAACAGGATCTAGAAGGAGGAAAATCACCTGAGGCTAATACAGGGTTAGGCTCACATAGATGAGAAATGGCTTGTGTTCCCATAAGCCAGAGCGGAAAAACCTCTTAGTTCATAGCTCATTGGGTATAGAATCTGGAGTGAGGGGGAAAAAATTAACCCTAAAGTAAACACTGGTGTAATTTTAATTCACAAAGCTTTAATATGAAGCCCAGAAGAATCTGTTTCCAGAACACTGCCTACTAGAACCAACACAAAATATTTATGGAAATATGAAAATAACCACCAGACAACAAGAAGAATTTACAATATCTGGTATCTAATCCAAGATTACTAAGTATCTAAAGAAGCAAGAAAATATAACAAAACATTAACTGCAAGTAAATGTTAGAATTGGTAGACAAGGGCAGTTAGTATTATATTCCATATGTTCAAGAAGGTGAAGGAAAAATTAAACATGTTAATGAAATATAGTTAAAATGACCTAACTAGAACTTCATTTGATTAAGTGCCTGAAATTTAGGGTACTGAAATGTGATTTTAATTGTATGTTAATAAATAAAGTTGCCCGGGGGTCAGAGCTACTAGAGCCATAGAAAGAGCGTGGCGGTGGTAGCGCACGCCTTTAATCCCAGCACTTGGTAGACAGAGCTAGGTAGATCTCTGTGTGTTCAAGGATACAGCCAGCATTGGAGACATACGTCTTTAAGACCTGGAGGGCTGTACTTACAGGCAGTGACGAGGCAGTCGTGTGTTTGGGTTTACAACCAATGAGAAGGCAGAACAGAAAGACTATTTAAAGACAAACACACAGGAAGTAGCTCTCTTTCGGAGATGTAGGTCCACCACAGGAGGAAGGGTAAGGTTTTAGCTCTGAGCTCTGACCTCTTGGCTTTCTCTTTTACATTGGTTCTGTGTTTCTTATTTAATAAGACGGTTGGTTACATCTACAGTAAACAGTGAGTTAGAGCTTAAAAAAAAAAAAAGTAGAATTAGTGAGCTGGAAGGTACAGCAACATAACCCATCTCTAATGAAACTAAATTTGGAAAAAACAGACAGATGGAACATCCAAGATCTTCAAATGGTCCAATACACAAGCAACTGGAGAAACAAAAATCTTGAGGGGAAATGGGAGAGGTGGGAACATAAAAATACTTCAATAAATAGCTTAGATTATTTTCTTAATTTGGTGAAAGTTACAAATCCACAGGTCTAAAAAAACTCACTCAAGCTGAAGCATAGGAAAAATAAGACATTTTTACTAAGGTGTATAACCAAATTGTCTACAACCAGGAACTCTTCAAAGCTCTCAGAGGAAGAGAGCATGACATTGTTTTGCCTTGCTCAGAGGAATGTCCCTGGCCATGAGGTGGTGCTGGGGTCTGTAAGCATGGAGAACATTCCCTCACTTCTCAAGTAGCGCTCAACGTGCAATCAGAATTTCTAATGTATACCATATATCTTTTCCTTATTTGTAAATATTTGTCCTTAACAAGACAGGAACTGAGGCAGAATGAAACATCAGATATCAGTTTTAAAGGGCACAGAAAATATATTAAGAAAATGAATTTTTTAAAAATCAAATGAGTGGAACAAAATCCGTTAAGTAACAAAATATAAAAACATATGATTAAAGACAAGATCTGACCTGATAGTTCCATGACCATCTTCTTCTCCTCAGTCCCACCCCTGATCTCTAGAAAGAGCTCTGGCATCTCTACAGGAATTTTTTCTTCTCTCTATGTCCTCTAGCAGTTCTAACCCTTGGCCCCCATCTCTCATTGTGTGCCAAAATAAGAAAGCTCTAAAGCCATTCCTTCATTTCTTATTTGGGTTGTCTCTAAATCTCCCTCCTTCTACAGTCATAAGGAGTCGTCATCTTCAAATCCAGATTACATTTCTAAAATGATTCCCTTTGCACTAGGAAGGGCCATAGAGGAATTGGAATCTTTTAACAAGATCTTCCCGATGAAATGGATAAACAAGAATAAATGCTAACTTTACTTACTAGCAAGAAACCAGAGGGGTTCCTGTTTGTTTGGTTTGTGTGGGGGCAGGGAGGGGTCTGTGAATTAAGTGCAATGGCATAGAGACTTTGTGTTTTAATAGTGCTGTTTTGTTGCCATGGTTACAAATTTGCATTGACATTTTCACAAGGAAACCAATGTGTGGTCTGAACATCACCCCCACTTTCACATCTGCCCACGTGCTCAGACAGGGACTGGGTAAACTGGCTTCTAGCCCTGATCTCCTCCACTCCACCATCCCCCAGAGAGTGCACATTTTTCACGGAAAATCTGAAGTCCTCTTGAGATGTAAAGTTAGGGTTGGCTCCTGCTCCAGACACAGTGTCAAACAAAATTGCTGACCAGCTTGCTTCCTGAGGTTCGATAACCCTTTACCTCTTTGGCGTGATATATGCGCATGAACTCACTATGAGATGGTTTGTTTATTTAATATCTAAGCTCTTTACAATGCATCTCAAGATAAACATAATCACTAAAGAAGTTACACAGCTTGAAACTCTTCTGGCACTATTCTTAAAGCAGTTCTTACAAAGTTTTCAAGTGACCTCTTGAGCCTTCTCATCTGGGTAACATAATTTCTGTTCTTTATCCCTCTCCATTCCTCTTTTCCTCTCTTCCCCATGCCAGTTTTTCTTGTAACATTTACACCCATCATCCAAACTTGTCTCTCTGAAACTCGAGTCTCCAATCGGATCATAAGCATGTCTCCTTGTACCTAAAGAGGCAGCAGGTGAAACAATGCCGTCTGCCATGCCTCCTGAGGCCATGCCCCGAAAGAGTTACTTAAAGTAGCAGGTCTCAAGCTTGGAGGGCACTATTGGCCATGATTACACGTCAGGCCAAGCTCATTCCTAACTGGCCTCTGATCCTTCCCACTTCTCTTCCTGATGCACCCTCAGGGAGCCTGCAAAACAGCAGTTCTGTCCTCGTTGTACCTGGACTGGGAATGTTGCCATGCGTCCTGTTATCGACAAGATGGCGTCCAAGATGGCGTTCTTTAAAATGCAACCTCGGGCTCTTCAGGGCCTGGATCCCACCTCTTACTCTGACCTGATTTCTCAGTGTTCTTCCCCCCTCTTCATCCTTGCATCCCTCTCTCTGTGAACTGGGATTTCAACAGAGTAGTGTCATGATGTCAGATGCCTGCAGAAAATCCAACACTGAAGTCAGTGCTCCATGTGGATAAAACTAGTTGAATGCTGAGTATTGTGTAGCTCTGGTCAAAAAAGAAACGACTAATTCATGAGCCCTTAGGTTTCCACTTCCTGAGATCTCCAAGTAGTCTCAAATCCATCCTTGCCCGCTGGCTCCTGCGGTGGCCATGGGCCACAACCCACACTCTTCTCTCTGAACAAGATACTTTTTGTATGAAAAAAAAAAAAAAGTGCATTCAGATTGCCCGAGCCACAGGCCAGGGTAAGGTGTGGTACTGACTCATGGTCCACTGACTCCCTTGGAGCAACAGAGCTATTTTAGCCCACAGTTGAGAAATGAATGTAAAGAAGTAGGAAGAATACAGTCCTGCAGGGGATGAGTCTGTGCTGAAATTTCCCCTCCGTATCTCAAATGACCTCAGATAAGTCATTTGCCATGGTTCTCAATGATCGCATTGAAAACTAGTGAGCTGTGGAGTTTTCCAAGATCTGTGTCTCTCCAACTGGGACCACGGACCACAGGGCGGTTGCTTGGATGCTGTTTGGCAGCACCTGAGCCCACTCCTAATCATGCTCTAATGGGGGTGAAGGAGGAAAACAGAGTGAGGCAAAGAGAGCCAGGGTTAGTATTTTAATAGCTCCTAAAGCCAGTCTTAAGTTTGCCAAGGCTTCGAAATGACCAAAATAGAAGACCCCCAAAGGCACAGGCTCTTCCATGCCCTCAGCACATGGGCCAAGTGGCTATCTGTTTCCAGATGTGTTACAAAGAGACAAAACACTTGCCAATGATTTTAATTAGACTTTAATTAATTTTAATGTGAAATTTAGGGGTTTTTTTTGTTTTTGTTTTTTTTTTTTTTTATAAAATAATGATGGGGGAATTCCAGGTAAACCATAACCTGAACCTTTTGTTCATTGGCATTTCCTTTCTACTTTCTAGGGTTAGAGGACAAAGCAAAAACCTCCACGATTTCAAAAAGAGGACCTGACTCATAGTTGATTTTAGCCATCTGCAGGCTATTTAAAATCATTTTCTCCGGGACTGACATCATACCCCTGCACTCCACTCTAATTGCAGCCATGATGGGCAGTTTCCCGGTAGCTCAAATTCCTCATCAGATGACAGCCAGCATCCTACCTGAAGTGTGGAGGCCCACAGAGGTTTCCTAGTGAGATCCAAGCTTGCTTTACCCAGCAGGGCTGCATAAGGGGATGGCTTGACCACGTGCGTGGTTACCAGGTGATTGGGAAGGTCTGTACTTGGCTGTGCTAGGGCAAGGTCTTTTGTGCCTCCCCTTGGTATTCCTATAAAAAGCCCTTTTGAAGAGACAGAAGGGGCTGGTGGATATTGATCCAGGCCCTCCCGAGCTATCCTGTGTTTCTATCTGTTTCTCTCCCCTCTATCTTTCTCTCTAAATATTTCTCACTTTTCCCTCCTCAAGAATACCCTAGGGAAAAAGTGGGAGCATGCCTTCCACAGTGAAGAACCTGCCAAGTAGATTGCTTGATTATGTTTAAATAAAAGCTTTATTAGAATAAACTACACATTCACGAGTCTCACTGTTTTGAAGTATTTAATTTAGTGCTTTTAGTATATTTTCAATGTTGAACATTGGTCATTACTATTTCATTCAAGAAGTTTTCTTTTTTAAATCACCTTATTCATATTAGTGACCATTTTTCATTCTTTCAGCTTCCCACCCTGGGCAAACACGATTATTTTAGTCTTTGTGGATTCACCTATTCACATTTCATAGAAACGAATCATAAGATATGTAGTCTTTTGTGACTGGTTCTTTTTTAATTAAGAATGTTTCCATGGTTCACCTGTGTGTAACACCTATCAGATAGAGCTTTTTGCTTTTTTATGACTAAACAATATTGTTTTATGTGAATATGCCACAGTTTTTAAGTCCACGTATCCCAGTGGCCCAGACTGACCAACTCAGCTACCACCCAGGCACACATCCAGAGCCTTGAGTTGGCCCTCCCCAACATCTACCCTGACCTGCTGGACCGAGTTAAGGGACTGGTCCTGCAGAACCATAGCTGCAGGAACTCCTTGACTCGGGGCAGCAGTAGGATATTCAAGAGGAGTTTTGGTGTGAAGGTCCAGTATTGATGGTGTACCAGAAGTCAGAGGCTTGAACCTGACCCACAACCCATTCAAAATGAATGTTTGCAAGGCAAGCTGTTTGAACAAAAGGATCTATTACGTGATACAGCACAGCTCCCAGTGCCATCAAGACAAAGGAAGAGATGATGGAGAGGGGGGAAGACGGAGGAGTGAAGTGGTTTTTTTGTTTGTTTGTTTGTTTGATTGATTTCTTTTTGTTTTTTGTTTGTTATTATTTTTATTTGTTTTTTTTTTAAATTTTTCAAATTTTCATTTCTTTTGAATTTTTCCTTTGGGGGGATGCTACAAGGGTGAGAGGCAGATATGGAAGAACTGGGAAATGAGTGGGATTGGGGTGCATGATGGGAAATTCCCTAAGAATCAATAAAAAAAATTATGTTTAAAAATAAATAAATAAATAATAAACCCTTGTGTCCATCCATTACAGGGGTGGTTGTCCATGCTTTACCCTGAAGCACCACCCCTAGTAGGCAGCAGATAACTAACTGCTAGGTACCTGCCCCCTGCCAGGATGTGGCCCAGTCAAGGACTCTTTAAGACCCAGGAGAAGTACATGCTCGCTGTCTCTTCACTACCTCATGGTCTTGGATGCTGGTGCTGCGGATCAAGGCAGATCTCTCCTGAGAACTATGGTGATGTTTTATTTGTGCTGAAATGTGATTTTCTTTGTATGTTAATAAATAAAAGTGCCTGGGGGTCAGAGCTAATAGCAAGCCATAGCAGTGGTAGCACATGCCCTTAATCCCGATCACATGACAGGGAGATCTCTGTGTGTTCAAGGATACAGCCAGCATGGAGACACAAGCCTTTAATCTCAATATCAACTATAGAGACCTAGAGGTCTGTATAGACAGGCAGTGGCGAGGAGGTCATGTGGTTGGGTTTACAACCAATGAGAAGGCAGAACAGAAAGTCAATAAAAAGACACACAGGAAGTAGGTCTCTTTCTCAGGGGAAGGATGACAGGTGGTAAAAAGGCCATTTTAGTCTCAGCTCTTACCTACTGCTCTGACCTCTTGGGATTTTAACTCTGCATTTGGTTTTGTGCTTTCTTATTTAATAAGACCATTGCATCTATATTTGGCGCCCGACATGGGGCTATTCTTGCCTGGACTGCTTGATTGACTGGATATGCAGGACCCATAGGAAGGTGACCACTGAACTTTGCTTGGCAAAATGGTCCTTCAGGTTCCTGCTTCACAGAGGAAACTGCCAGACATTCTACAGGACACAGAGAGAAGTAACTGAGAGACTCTAGGCCTATAGGCTAAAGACAGATGCCCCAACTTTACAGAAAAACATTAGGTGACTGTCCAGGCTGCCAGCTGTCTCTGTCTACTCTTGCAAAACTCCCAAAAGTTGCTTGTGTCCTTCTCCCATTTCTCAGGTAATATTTTATCCTTCTGAGGTCTTTGATGTAGTTGAAGACTAGATAGTGATAATTTTCCTTAGTTATGATAAAAGATAAGTTAGATATGAAACCTTAGACTCACAAATATTGGATAGATACAATATCTTCTTTAATTTTGCCAAATACAAATAGACTAGATATTATAAATAGACTAGATAGTGTAACTGTAATAGTATAAATAGTATAATAGTAAAAAGTATAGATGGGACAAACAGAGAAGAGAATTCTGGGAACAGGAAGGCTGAGTGAGGAAACGCAACCAGCCACCACCATGAGTACCAACACGTAAGATAGTGGTAAGCCATGAGCCATGTGGCAAGGTA